TCAATTTACTGCAAGCACCATACGTGTGTCCGACGTATATGTTGATTGGGAGTTCGTCGTAGTGGGTGGATCACGGCGGTAACTTCGTCGTGTGAAAAGCTTTCTGATACTGTATCTTCTTCCACTGAGAGGGAGTGTGAGTGAGTGAGTTGGGTTTAACACCGCCTTTAACGGTATTCCATTTACATTACGGTGTGTTAGCTTAATGTGGGAGGAAAGCCCGAAGTGATGCAGGTCTCAGACGTTTACCACTTCGGCGAAACCCATGAGCACGGGTATGGTGCTGACGTTAAACCCAACTCACCCACTGATCCATGCCTCTCTTCTGGCATTTCTTAAGAGACAGTGAATGCCTCCTGGGACAGATGAGTGCATTCCGACACTGTAAACCTGGCTGACGGACGCCCCAACAATCACAGCATAATTTGTGAGGATCCACGATGTGGATATGTTGTGACACTTCTTGCAAGCTGGCCGTTTTGCTTGATCCTTGCTCATATCTTAGACGTAAGAAGTGCCCCAAACTCCAGTCATTTTGAGAAGAAGAAAGGCCTAAATATTCTCTCCCCAAAAGCACGTCTCCACAGCGAGGCGAAGAGAAAGAGAATGATGAGACAGAGGTCAAGTGGCCAGATCGAGGTCAGCAGGCTGCACGAGATTCGGCTGCATGACCTGATTGCTGGGGCGGTCGCCATGGTGATGCAGGGGTGCTTGGGCATACAGAAGCTAAGAAGCTGGAAACTTCGTTCAAGGACGTTTCCACACAAGGGATCGGTAGAAGAAGGATGAAATGCATAGAGTGAGATAGGATAAGTTTTAAAATGTATTGCGTTGTGTTGCACTAATTCTGTGTGAGTGTTGCAACAGTTTGTTTGTTGTTTAACGCCGCACTCAGCCTTATTCCAACTATATGATTGCGGTCTGTGAAAAAAATCTAGTCTGGACCAAATAATTCAGTGACTGACATGACGAGCATCGACCCATGCAGTTGGGATACGATGACATGCACCGTCCAAGTCACGGAGCCTGACCATCCGATCTCGTTACTTGCCTCTTACGACAAGCATGGGTCAGTTTGCTGAAGAACAATTCTAACCCGGATGGTCAAGGGTTGCTCAATTTGGTCGCCGCTTGGGCCCCCATTCGGATGGGGTGCTGGTGACACATTTTTCTTCCGAGTCCCCACTAGGGTGTGCGACAATTCCCTATTTTGACTTGTACCATAAGTTCCCGTCTTTTATTCAGGTGAACAATTGACTTGCCTTTGTATGTGTTTTGCAATGGGTGTCATCAGTTGGATAGGATACGCTCACCTTTTTAGCCCGCTTGCACAAAGCGATCTTAGTGCTAAGACGATCTTAACTCCCATACTTTAACATAGGCTTACAATAGCCTTAGCACTAAGATTGTTTTGTGCAAGTGGGCCCTGGTATCACGTCTATTTCATAGTGATTGATAAACACATCATGCTATAATCATACAAACAACTCTGCTTTTAGCAGAGATTGAAAGGGTTTTGTCACTTTTATTTACAGATTGCTGAATGTGGCGTTAAACGACAAAGAAACAAACATAAACTTTTGTTTATAAATGGCCATATATTTTATTAAAGAATGTTTGTCCGACAAGGTTGTTAACTTGTTACTGAACACAGGATAGCCGGAGACCTCTATATACATTGCAGGATAGTCCAGTCCGGTTCGTTGGGAGATTTTACAGAAGCTTCTATAATTATACGAAGGTGGTCCTTCGCTTGCTCCATTGAAGTCTTGCCTCGAAATTCAACTTCTGCCAAGCATTATGATAATATTCATGATTGTTACATCATTGCTGGTGATGGATAACTATTTGAAAGAGTAAGACAATGTGTCATTTTTTTTATATCCCAAATACATTTTAACAAGGTGTGTTCTGTAAACATTTAGAACATGTATCTATCTGTAAAGCAAAAAAATGTCCATACCATCATATTTTTTTTTTTTCATTTTCAAATATAAAAAAATATATGATTAACTTCAATTAATCACAGTTTATCAGCTTTATGTGGAGGAAAAAGAGTGTTGCATTGCTTAATTCTATTTTGGTGAAACCCATGAAATTTTGCGCTGACAATCCAAACATCATTATCAGGGTGAGACTGGGATTCCATCCTACAATCATTGAATCCAGGAACACATATGGGACACAACTCTGCATAGCAAAAAAAAGTGCCTTAGAGGACTGTCGACCATGCCATCATTCATAGTGGTTGTGGCATGGCAATACAATAGATCGTGTATGATGCTCAATTTGCAAGTAATTCCAGTCTCATATCTATGACCAAACAAATGAACTGTATTGATGTTGATGATAAACCAACACTGCAGAGTTTGGGTCAACCAGTCTGAACAGACATACCAAACTTCCTGACAATAAGTGAGTGAGTATGGTTTTACGCTGCTTTTAAATAAAAAAGCAATACTTCAGCAATATCACGGCGGGGGACACCAGAAGTGGTCTTCACATATTGTACCCATGTCGGGAATCGAACCCAGTTCTTCGGCGTGACGAGCGAACGCTTTAACCACTAGGCTACCCGACCGCCCCTTCCTGACAATAATACCAAGGGGATAAGAATTAGTCCCAGCAACCTACACTGGTCATAAAGATGTGATACAACCACTTCTGGTTTATTGCATATAGCAGGGGCAGTTGGCACCGCAATTGGCTGTGCAGAGTTGCGTTCCTTTGGCACGACAGAAACCCATGATTGTGGGTTCGCCCCGATAATGTTTCTAGGTTTGTCAACACCATACCCGTGCTCGTGGGTTTCACCGAAGTGGTAAACGTCTGAGAGCTGCATCACTTCGGACTTTCCTCCCATATTAAGCTGACACGCAACGATATAACTGGAATACCTTTAAAAGTGGTGTTAAACCAAACTCACTCACTCACTCACTCACTATTGCATATAGCAACGTTTCGATGTAGGTTCTTACACCATTATCAAGCTGGAGTGTCGAACTCCAAAATAAATATGGATCCTTATGAGGTTTGTATTTACGACAAAAGTGAATACAGTTTGAAAATTTGAAGCCGTTTCGTCCGCCCATTTTTGGAAATTTGCTTAGACAGAGCTGTAGCTGTCTTTCTATTGTATTCATATTCTTACCTGGACAAGAAATGTTGAAATCGTCCACAAAAAGTGAACCATCAACGTTATTGTTTAATACTTTAGTGAGACTATTAATTTTGATGCTGAAAAGTGTGGCATATAGTATGCTGCCTTGAGGGACGCCCTGATATTGATCGAAATGATCTGTAAAGTTCCACCTTTTTGAAGGTGGTTCGTCAGACGGATTAACAGTTGTAAGTATCATTGACCAACCATTCGAATCCATTTACAATATTTGAATCTGTCACTCAAAGGTATAGTCCTGAGTATGTGCCAGTGGCAGGATGCAGATATGTGTCATAACCCTCATTGAAGATGCATAAATCATTGTTTGAGATAAGATCTTCAAGGACCTTTCCTTCATTATTTGTATCAGTACTCCTCTATAGGGGATCATGACCGTTTAAAACGCCCATGATGATACAGAACTTAGGGAGCTGATCGTACAAAGTCTGAAGATCTGATTGACAGAGAGTTAAGGAAGGTGGAAGACACAGTGACCACAGTGTAAGCACTATGTTGAAAGTAACACTGGCAGCAACAGATTGTAGAGTAGTGTTGAGTGGAACAGGATTATGTTGTAAGAACTGTACTGACGGATATAAAAAAAATCTGCATTTTTAGATATGTTTCTTGGAGACAAAAAGCTGAATTTTCATTAAAATTCGTCTTAAGACGTCTGCAATTCCATTGTATTATATTTTGTGGATTCATGGCGGTGCTTCCACAGGAAAATGTCACGCGAGTAGATTGGGGATATACACCTCTACTCCAATGCTACAATAACCAGCTTTAATCGAATTTGGAATCTTTGAACGAGAGAAAGTGAAGGCGTTGGTCATTTGTTCAGTTTAACACACCGTTCTTCTTTACAGAAACCGCTTCACAGCTGTGACTGATTGTTTGACAAGTTCTTTGAAAATTTGTTCTTCGGTCATGTCGGACAGGCAGCATCCTCTGTCGCAGACAATGCCCTTACACAATGTGTGATGCTCAGAAACAGCAACCTTGATGTTGACAAACTCTTTTATGTTGAATAGATTAACATTTAAAACCTCTCCGCAGATACCAGCGAACCCTTTGGAAATTGCAAAAGGATTGAGATTCATTGGTTCTTTGTCACACGTTTCAATTACCAAAAAGCGTGGCCAATAGATCGAATTGATGTATTCTCGTCAGACGAGGTATTTTTGGAAACTATATGTCTTCATTTTGAACCAGGGTGTTGAGAAGCCATGTCGAAAGGAAAGAGATTCAGCACCCCTTTCCCCCACCCACTATGGACTGTCTACAAAGACTTATAGTGCAGTGGATTTCCAAGCTGCAAAGACCGAGGATAAAGAGATGGTATGTTCCAGCAAATTTGACGCAAAAAGTCATAACTATATACCAAACTAAAGGTCAGGCTGGTTTGGCCCATGACAATCAATTGGAGACGTACAGAATACGGACGTCATCACCTGATTGGCCCTTGAGCCACCGCCTTCTGGGCAAGGGCTCTAAGCAAGTTTTTATAGATTGATACAGATATAAAAGACATTTTGAGTAGAAACCGGTTGTGCGAAAAAGTGTTTGCACAGGGCATGACATTCCAGGCCCATTATCCCGCCCGTCTTGGCAAAGTTAGGGTCAAAGTGGTGTGTTGGACTAAGGAGCACTATTACCGGTTCCGTCGCCCTCAACCACCAGAATCCCTTCCTCTGCCGACACAGGGTCGCAGCACACGGCAAACTGGCTATACAGTTTGTTTGCCTTTTACGACCAGCAATAGGGACACATTCTTGTTTATCTTCCCCGGGTCCCTACGGGTGAAAGTTAAATTGATATCCTTAATGGTACAGAGGGGATAACCAACAACGTGTGCAACAACCAGGGAGATAGTTTATATTGTCATTTTACAAACTTCAATATCTATATATATTAGATCTAGTACTATGCCCAAAGCGTGTACGTGCAATGGTGGAAGGTCACGTGACCTAAGAAACCTAATAGCAGCAGTGTTTGGACAAAATACTGTTTGCATCCTACACTAACTTAGAATATATTGCCTAACAGAAAGTATATACAGGTTAGGCAACGAATATAATCATATATACATATATGGAGCCCTAAAATTAGTGTATTTACCATGATCGACCTTCTCTACCATGTCGTCTGACTAAACCGACATACAGTGAGGGTATCGCAAACATGAAATATGCAAATTAATCAATCTAACTATTTACCAGTGTTAATAAATTAACGACTAACGAAACAACTAGGTCTACCTTTTCCACTAAGAACTGTCAAAACATGGTTTGCATTTACATGTATGTGTTTATTGTTCAATACGTTACTGACATTGGATAAAAATATACATGGAAAGCAGAGCTGAAGGATCAAACTTAAAAATGACTGTTCACGTACGAGACAAGTTTCTGGGCCTGGCTAGGAATTAGGTGAAGTGAGGTGAATGGGGTTCAAGATTATTGAGAAGATCGTCAAAGCAATTCGAGAAGTTTTTAAGGCCTGTCCAAAATGAGCACCGAACAGTAAATGCAAGTTAGTAAAAGGGAAATGGCTCCAATTTGCAAGCTACCTGATTGTCTTCATATCAGTTTGAGCCTGTCAGGCCATGCAAACAAAACATTGGGAAGGAGCAGAAATATAAAACACAACGTCGACACAAAGAAATAACGGCAAACTGCACATCAGAGTCTGGTACTTGTAATTCAGCATCTAAACTAATAAATAGTGAATATAAGGACACATAAATATATTTATATAAGGAGATGCATATATAACATGACGCGGTAATCAAGTGAATTCTTGGAGAAAAACAAATCTAGATTTCAACTTAGAGCTGACAGGAATACCAACTATGTTGAATAGCCACGAGAAATACCGAAACACGAAAACGTTATTCACAAATGCACGATTTTTTCGAGTTCCATGCACGATACATAAGTACTACTCTCACATAGTAGGCGCTTTCTCCGGGCTTTCGGCACAATGTGGTAGCGTCCTCATTGGTAAAGCTGCTATGGTTCCTGTTGCTCCGGTTACGACAGCGCCACCTTCCGTTTCTCCTGTGTAGAGGTTGCGCTGGTTTTGCCATTCCCGTTCCTTCTCCTGAAACACCTGGTACAAATGTTGGGTAAGATCTGCTGCAACTAACTCGCTGGAATTCCGGCAGATCATAGACAGGATAAACACACCATCGATTCCGAGGAAACTGCTGATGAATCGTGTTACAGCGGGTTCGTTAGGGCGAGCTCCTTTGGAAGCGTTGACGTGGGCAGCTATCCTGCCATCTCTTAGGAACGGTAGGAAGAGAAATCCTGCCCACAGGACAAGATTTAGGATTGTGATGATAGCCAGAAGGAAGACCCAGTACCACAGGAATATGAACATCTTCTCATAGATTTCGGTGATTTGCAGAGTACACTGAACTGAAAATATCTGGGTATTCTGCAGGAACTGAACTTGAACATGGCAATATATATCTTTTACAAGTAATGGTTTTATGATGGAGTCAATATCAAAATCAGCATAGGACCCAACCCTGATTGCTAGGTATTGTCTAAAGTAAGTCGTCAGGAACATAAACTGAGCTATGAGATTAATACATGAGAGGAGCTTCACAAATAGGTACAACAGAGCCAGAAAGAATCGATTTCTTCTAAGAAGACTTCCAAATACCCGGGCTGCATCACTGAAACTGGCCTGGCGATTCTCCGGACTGGTCAGTTGTACACTCTTCAGGGACTCGACAGTTTCCTCCATATTAAGAGTGAGCAAGTGCTTGCAGCTGTTCCAGATGATGTTTGGTACTTTGAAGGCGAGGGCTTGGAAGAAGAGTATGAGGGGTATCCAGAGGTGGAAGGAGGGAACAGAGGGAGGTTTTGTTTCGTCGTCATTATTAACAGACATTGATTTGTTATAATACATGTCCTTCAGAAAACACGATTCCTGTGTGTAAGAGATCATAGAGCTTGTGAATTCAGCAGGGCACCAACAACTAATGGGTGTAGTGATGTAACGTAAGGCGAATGATCCGACAGAACACACGACCAATAGAAGGACTGTCCAGAAGCCGTTGATGGAGTCAACATGATCCTGATCTACTTCACGTCCAAACCATGATCCAAATACTGCCATTTTTGTCTGAAAACAAGTAAAAATGATTAAGTCGAATTGGAATCGATCTATCTTTATATTTTATGTGCATATACTCAATATCCTTATAAGGTATAATCACCATAGGCCCATGTCCATAAATTCAGCACGATTGATGTTACTATGAGAGATGGATGCCGTATCTTTTACATGAAGATTTCTAAATACAAGAGCGCCTCTCACAAACCTTGTATAGTTCATAAAAATATATTTTGATCTTAAGGCAGTCAAACATGGGCAAACCAATATAAAGTGGCACTCATTATCTTCAATTATTCCTTCATACACAATTTATGGAGTTGATTACAACGAGCAACACCAGGTCGTCTTCCAACATGTATCATAAGTGTCAGTTCATCAATTCTTAATTAACATAAAAGTCGCCTGTATTCACGAACCTTGAATGTATATAAATATTACACAACTGCTAGAAGTGATTTATATTCTTGATAAGACATAGTCTACCTGTTACTTTTGAATATCACTTTTGTTGATTATAATCTCTTGTACTAAGTTGTTTAAAAAGTAAAATATTTTCCCCTACTTTTTGTCATAATTATAACTGTAAGAGAACAATAATCTTTTTACATTTAAAACCCACGTTTAAATGATTGCACTGATCTGAAGATAACATTGCTTCAAGACTTCAAGACTTCAAGACTCTTTTATTCTGTAATAAAGGCTTCCAGCCCAGAGTACATGTGTATATAATCAAGTCATAACAATTTTAAGTTACAAACAAAAATTACAATCATTAAGAAGAGATCTACTATAATCATCAAGAGGAGGTGAAGCATTCGTAAACTGTATATAGAGTTGTCTCCCTTTAACCTATGAGATAAACCTGCCTTGCCTGCGTGCATTTAACAATATAAAGTGCTAAAGATTCTGACAAAGAATTATCTGTCATAACTTTCTCAAATTTGTCGAGAGTACAAAGATTACTAGTACAAATACTTGGCAAAAGCATATTTCTGAATTTGTTATACAAGTAACATGATGTAATAAAATGAACTTCATCCTCCACAATTGATACACTCAGATTATCAAAACAATATTTACATACTCTATCCTCTCTAGCAACACCTCCCCACCGCCCAATTTCAACAGCCAGTTTGTGGTTACCACATCTGAATCGACTAAGAACAATTCTTAAATTTTTACTCTTCATATTGTGCAAATACCTTTCAGTCTCCAACACTGATTTGATAATAGAATAATTATAAAGCTTACTTGTTTCACTTATAGATAGTGCCCATGTTTGTTTCCAACAATCCTGCAACCTTTCCCTACAAATTCTAAGGAAATGGGTTATGTAACCAACACCCTGTTCATACCAAACTAGACCAAATCCAAGTCTGTTCAACAGATATTTTATTCTAGTTGCCCATGTGGCTCTACCAGCCCCATCTAACTGATATAACATCAGATAGCAAGCCTTAGGATACCTATTTGCTTCAGGTATATAGATGTTCTGATATCGTTCAATAACTATCAGAGCTAGTGGTAGAGCGTCCGCCCGGAGAGCGGAAGGTCCGGGGTTCGATCCCCGGCCGCGTCATACCAAAAGACGTTAAAATATGGTACTTGTTGTTACCCTGTCTGGCGCTCGGCATTAAGGGGCTAAAACAAGGACTGGTCGTCTCGGAGTCAGTATACTGTGTCTGAGTGGGGTATTCATGTTAAACTGCGGCATGGTATCTCAGTGAGCTAGCACTATAAATCGGCATCAGCTCCTAGTACAAGCAGCCACACAAACACATACACGTACATGCACGTCGCTATATAAGTGCAATAATCTTGGACGCGACGTTAAACCCAATTACACCTCACCTTCAATAACCATCAAACAGAGAATTCCCTTCTATTCATTTACTTCACTGATTTACCCTGCTGAACTAGAAAAAGGAGACAAGTGAGAACGCCTCATCTGTTTCATATTAAGATCCATGCATAAAGATTCAGAGTGACAAAACACTCTCCACAGGACTGTATGACAAGAGGGATGACTTCAACTTTCCAATTCACTTTCCCTTTATTTCGAGCGATATTAAAGCAGCTCCTGCCTTTGGTGTTTACATTTCACAACCTTTCTACCATGATTTCAAAGGGCTTCACATAACTCTTGCCAAGAAACTGCTGGACCAAGGTTACAAGTCCTCAGTAAAGCTCTTAAAACGTTTTATGGTAGACAAAAGGAGGACATTTAGAACTTTGACGCAACAGTGACAAGAATGATGTCCGATGCAATTCCCTGTTGTGACTTGTACCATACGTGCCCGTGTGTTTTCAGGAGAACAATTAACTTGCTGTCATTTTTATTTGGATATGTGTAATTAGACATTGATAACAATTTCAACAGATATTTAATACATCTCTGGTGATAGCATTTGTATACTGTCATGAATTAAAGCATTAAGTCGGGCTTTTCTTGTATAGAATGTAAATTGATCATTAGTGAACATGAACCATTCTCGACTTACACCAACTGATATTTGCCACAGCAAAAAAATTTGATATTTAGACGGTTATTTATTGACATTGTCAAATGGAGTCTAAAATAGAATCTCTTGGGTTAGATGTGAACATTTGTACTTCACAAGTTGCTGATAGGGAAAGAGGCCAAGCAAAATGGTGAAAGATATCTCAGCAACAAGAGATATTAAAAATATACAGCGTACATCTCCCGTGGTAGCAAGTAACTACTACTAAGTCCAACTAAAACAACATAACACCACATAAACTTGCGATGACTGTGTCCTCTTTGTGATGTTGATTTAAAACTTGTGACTTCACTCCAAGGGTTAGAGTAGAGACAGTTTACCAACACATCCAAATACAATCCTAAACACTGCTCACAATAGTAAACAACCTAATCTTCTTCAAGTGGTTAGAATTGAGCGCAGTACAAGCGAACAGGAGTTGGGGCTCTACATGAATACATGAACGTCCACTTATCTTCGGGGGCGGTTGGGTAGCCGAGTAATTAAAGCGTTCACTCGTCACGCCGAAGACCTGGGTTCGACTCCCGATTTTAGGTCACTCACCACTCAATGTCTTCGTAAAAGCTGTACTTGTAAATTTTACTACATGCATTTTAACACAGTTCCTGCTACGATGGTTTCTTCTACATGTATCATTTACATGGGGAAAACGACACAATATTGTGTTTTGTTTCATTCATAATGGATATTATGTTACCTTACATTAAAATATAAGCTGATTGGTTAAGGAGTGGGCAACTATATTCCATGTAGCCCACTCAGAGACGGTGTACAAATTTCGTGTAGCCAACTGAGAAATCAATCGGATCACATCATGGGTAGCCTAGTCTCTGGGAACAACTGCAAACTTTTCTTGTAGGGTACCTAGACTTGGATGACAGCTGGGACAGAACTGATTTATTCCAATTCTGCTGACTCTTTGTCAGTTTGTGCATTCTACCAATTACAACATCCCGCTCTGACCAAACCCTATTTGAAAGACATTTAACAGGTTCCTCTTCTCTATTGCGTCATTTTGGGATTTTCTTTGACAACATCCATAATGATTTTTAAGTTGTGATCCCAATTGGTAAGAGGCAGGTCCATATCTGAACAAGAAAGGAGCATTATCACTACCCCCCGTCTTTGGGCACATTAGAATTTTGTTTGTTCATATAGCTGTAAATAAAAATGTTAACTGTAAGAAAAAGAGTCCTATACAGATATAAAATGGAGAGGCACTAGGGTCGCTTTACGTCATCAGAAAAAAATATCAAATGTGAAATTAAAACACTCAAAAGGGCCCTTCTGTGGCACCAAGTTTCGAACTGTCTTGATAAGTATCTCTTAGATGAGCTTGCAAAATTCCATTCATGTAACTTTGTAGGTTCTGAGAAAATGTGTCCCCACTGGAGACACTATGCATAAAGTAAAACAACACGGATCAAGGACTGTAACTATGTATGCACAAACATATGTACTAAAGGAAGTAACTCTGGCTAAAAATATTTCAAGGCATCAATTTTCGAATTCAGTGTTGATAATCGGGGACCAACCATTTGATAATCTGGGGAGGGCCTTGGATTTTGTCACGAGATCAGATATTTTTCAGCTACAGGGGTTGGATGGGTTGGGGTAGGTGGCTTGGGGAAGCAGTTACACTGTCTCGGCCGAAACAGTTTCTAATTTATTCGTCTAACATTTGTACCAAGCCAGTGATAAGTCTCTGGGACAAAAGGTAGACTAGCGGTAAAATCGACTTGGTTGATGTCAATAGGCGAGAAAACACTTTCCATATTTAAGCATCTTCCCGAGGCAAGAGAGTTAACTGACTAGGCTGGAATTCCTGGGCTCAATCGTAGCGCCACCAGTGGTTATTACAAGTTATGTCCCTAATTAGCCTCTCCTGTGGACCAATTAGATTCCATCACTTGCATTTGTTTCAAACAAAATGGCGCGCCCAGTCAAGACGATCTGATCGATAATCAAGGTCTATATTGTGACAAAACGGGACTTACATCGCGAAGTGCAAACAAGTCACGTGAGCACCTTGATTAAAAGCATGAAAAGGTTTGTAAAATGTCTGTTGACAACGAGTTGGCGGTGCACATGTTTTGCAAATCCTGCAATCTGCACGACAGTTTACGAACCGGATTTCGATTTCGTTGCGCGATTTTGATTGGACCATGCATAGACTCGTTACACTGCAAACACTTAAACGTCGTTTTTTTCGTATAAGGTCATTGGACAGAAAAACGAAGTTATTTGGAGGCTTTCAAACCATCGTTTTTCCGTCCAAATAACGTCGTTATTTGACATCGGAATTTACTGGGAGAGAACTACATCATCAAGCTCTTCCCTTTTTGATTGACATTGTCAATCAAGCAACAGCGTCTTTCGGTATTTCTACTTCTCAGATTTCATTGGTCAGTTCTCTCGTGTTAGAATCCAGGCCCGAGTTTGACGCTGTACTCGAAGCGCTTAGCGGAAGTACTGAAATCAATC